CGGGCTGGGGATTCAAATCCGCCACCTTAGGTGTATGTGGCTGGCGCCTTAGCCGCTTGAGCCACAGGCGCCGAGCCTGTTAAGAGACTTTGATAGAAAGTTAGTACCTATGTAATGTATAAAGGTAATGTTATAAAGGTAGCAGTGTAGGTTGGGCACCTGTAGCTCAGTGGTTAGGGTGCCAGCCACATGCTCCAGGGCTGGGGGTTCAAACCTGGACCGGGCTTGCTAAATTAAAAAAAAAAATCTGGCATTGTGGTGGATACCTGTAGTCCCAGCTATTTGGGAAGCTGAAGCAAGACAATTTTGCTTAAGCCCAAGAGTTTGAGGTTACTGTGAGCTATGACGTCAATGGCTCTCTACCATAGGTGACAAAGTAAGACTCTGTCTCAATTAAAAAAAAAAAAAAGGTAGCAGTGTAATTTTAGAGTACCTTTTACCCATTCCCTTCCCATCAATGGGTGTTATGCTTTTTTTTTTTTTTTGGAGACAGAGTCTCATTTTGTCACCATGGGTAGAGTCCTGTGGCATCAGAGCTCACAGCAACCTCAAACTCTCAAGGCTCAAGTGATCTTCTTGCCTCAGCCTCCTGAATAGCTGGGACTACAGGTGCCTATCACCATGCCCAGCTAGTTTTTCTATTTTTTTTTTTTTTCTTTTTGAGACAGAGTCTCACTATGTCACCCTGGGTAGAGTGATGTAGTGTCACAGCTCACAGCAACCTCAAACTCTTGGGCTTAAGTGATTCTTCTGCCTCAGCCTCCCAAGTAGCTGGGAGTACAGGCACTTGCCACAACACCCAGATATTTTTTGTTGCAGTTGTCATTGTTGTTTAGCTGGTCCAGGTCGGGTTAGAATTCGCCAGCCTGCGTGTATGTGATTGGTGCTGTAACCACCAGGTGCTAAGGTGCTGAGCCTAGTTTTTCTAGTTTTAATAGAGATAGGGTCTTTCTCTTGCTCAGGCTGGTCTTATACTCCTGAGCTCAAGCATCACCTGCCTTGGCCTCCCACAGTGCTAGAATTACAGGTGTGAGCCACCATACCCAGCTAGTGTTATGCTTTAAATACTTATGCCAACTTTATAATATGGCATTTCATGGTAGTTATCTGATACATTTACTTGATTATTTAATTAAATTCATAGGTGATTATTGTGGACAATAATCTCTTATGAGCAGTTTTTTTAGTTTATTTTTTCTTTTTTTATAATTATTTTTTATTAAATCATAACTTTGTACATTGATGCATTTATGGAGTTCAGGGTACTACTTTGATATACAATGTGAAATGTTTACATTGAACCAAGTAACACATCGATCACAATTTTACTCATTTCTTAATAGTTTTGAAATGTACCATCGCATCATGCACATTAGGTGAGGTCCCCTCGAATACCCTCCCTCCTCCCATATCCCCTCTCATCACCCCTCTCTCTCCTCTTCCCTTCTACTTTATGGACTATAGTTATGTTTTGCCATTTGTATGAGTGTGTAGGTGGTTATATATTGATTTCATAGTAGTATTTGAGTACATTGGATACTTTTTTTCCCATTCTTGAGATACTTTACTAAGAACGTGTTCCAGCTCCATCCAGGTAAACATAAAAGATGTGCAGTCTCTGTCCTTTTTTATGGCTACATAGAATTCCATGTTGTACATGTACCACAATTTGTTAATCCATTCATAGGTCGATGGGCACTTGGGCTATTTCCCTGTCTTGGCTATTATGAATTGGGCTGCAATAAACATTCTGGTGCATAAGTCTTTGTTGTAAAAATAATTTTTGATCATGTGGGTATATACCTAGTAGAGGAATTGCAGGATCAAAAGGTAGGTCTACTTTTAGTTCCTTCAGTGTTCTCCAAACTTCTTTCCAAAAGGGTCATATTAGCTTGCATTCCCACCAGCAGTGTAGAAGCCTTCCCTTCTCTTGGCATCTACGCCATCAGTGTAGTTTGGGGGTTTTGTGATGTGAGCTAATCTTCCTGGAGTTAGATGATATCTCCAGTGGTTTCGATTTGCATTTCTCTGATGATTAAGGATGATGAGCATTTTTTCCTGTGCTTGTAGGCCATGCTCCTGTCTTCATCAAAGAAGTTTCTGTTTAAGTCTCTTGCCCACATAGAAATGGGGTTATTCTTTTCTTATTGATTAGTTTGAGTTCTCTGTAGATTCTAGTTATCAGACCTTTGTCAGAAGCATAACCTGCAAAAATCTCCCATTCTGAAGGTTGTCTGTTTGCTTTACGTACTGTGCTCAGCTGTGCAAGAGCTTTTTAGTTTGATCAGATCTCAGTAAAGGATTTTTGGTGTTGCTTTAATTGCCTGGGGCGTCCTCTTCATAAAATATTCTCCCGGGTCAATTTCTTCAAGTGTTTTCCCTACACTCTCTTCTAGTATTTTTATAGTTTCATGTCTTGAGTTTAAATCTTTTATCATTGAGAATCAATTTTTGTTAATGGTGAAAGGTGGGGGTCCAGTTTCAGTCTTCTACAGGTCGTCAGCCAGTTCCCCCAGCACCATTTGTTAAATAGGGGTTCTTTCCCCCACTGGGATTTGACTTACTGTTCTGTTTGGTGCTCCGTGTCAGTGTGTGTGAGTAGATGTGTGCACACATGCTCCTTTGGAACAGTTAATACACTGAATTAACCGTTTCTTTATAGTTTGAAGGAACTTATCCTTATAATTGCGTGGGTCTAGTATACATCTTTGAAGATCATTTGACTCTTTTTGAATTTCCAGTGTTATCTGGTCTATTCTGAGAACTCCAGCAACTCTGCTGCCAACAATACAACCTCCAGCAGGAAATGGGCAGCACCTACACAGCTGCTCTCCATTTACTGCGTATACTCCCCAAGTGAGGTAAACAAGGGGAAAACCTCTCAGAGGACCAGAGCAATCAGGGAACAAGGCAAAAATCACCCAGTCTGGAAACAAAGACAGATGGATCTGGTCCCAATCCTCTCTCTCTAAAGCAGTGGTTCTCCACCTGTGGGTTCCGACCCACAGGAACTGTATTAAAGGGCCAGGGCATTAGGAAAGTTGAGAACCACTCTTCTAAAGGCTTACCTGGACTATAGGACACTGCATGTGTCTGTCTGTACTTTTGAGTCCTGGTTCTGAGGAGGAGCAGAGGTTGGCAGGTGAAAGGGGGCGATTTGATTTTCCTAGTGAGCCCAAGATGGCCCCTCAAATCCACTCAATGTGGCTTGCCCTGTTCTCTTCAGACGTAACACACTTGTGATCATTTCCTGGAGGCTCACAAGTCTGTAGACTGTAGATTCTACATTCCTCCTCTGCACATCAAGAGTCAGAGAAATGTTCCCAAAAGGAGCATCTTGACAATTCACCTGCCCTCTGAGGCATCGACAGTCTCACATTTTGAATTCAGTCTTTAATGGGACTGCTTGCAAGTTTTTATTTTTAAACAGAAGACACTTTTTCTATTTTGAGATAGTAACAATCATTCTATTCTCTGGTTTTTCAAAGGACACAACAGCAATGGTTTAAATTAGGATTTGAGATTTTTCCTGTGATTATAGTGACTGATCCAAATCTGTATTACTTTGCTTAATTTTAAGAGCCATAATACATAATCACCACAATGATAATAGTCACAATACCCTTCTCTAAATGTTATTTCTAGGCCTTTATTTTAATAGCTAGAAAAGGATTTTTGTAAGTATAAAGGAATTCACATAGTAGAAATAATACAACACTTGACTATCTTCTACCCTCACCGAGGTAGAAGAAATAGCAAGTGACCCAAGGACAGGCTCCTAGTGAAGACCGAACCCCGGGGTTATGTACAGGTCTGACCAGAGCACAGCTTTGCAAACAACCTGCAGCTTAGCAAGACTGATCCTCAGAAGTCCCTCAAGGTTCTCGCTCTGGGATTCTCACTGTTCAGTTCATGCCACCCTCAGAAAAATGCTGTCCCCATGTCAAACTCTGTCAAAAGGTGAACAAAACTCCCTTGCCTCTGTTTTAAGAAAAAGCACAAGCTGCTTCAAATGGATACAAGTGAGCAAAAGGGCTCAATTTTTCCTATTAACACTGCTGAAATTTGGCTGGTAAAAAGAAATTTACTGAGCAGCTGCAACATAAAAGGAGAACTGGTTACAGAAGGTGCAAGGAGCACACAGGAGGAGAAATTTTGTCTTTGGCAACCTCAGTCCACTGCTCTCCAGCCCCAAACATAGGACATTGGTTGTGCTTCTTTACCACCTAGGACAGGAATCTGGGACAGGCCTCACCTCTGGAGCTTTTGGATGCCCCTCTCAGGTGAGCCCAACCCACTCACCCAGGTGAAGATCAGGAAGTGGCCTGCACGTGCACGTGCGCACACACTAACAGGTGCAGACATCTACGTCCTCACACCTCCCCTGCCACCAGCATCTCCCCTGGGCACACTCAGGAGAGTGTGTTCTAAGAATTCAAACCAGCACCGCTTTGTTGCTCTTTTCTGGTCAGGTGGTCAAGGGGCTGAAAACACTATAGAACACACTTGACTTGGGCTTCCCAGGGACACAGGCACCATTCTCCCTCTTAGCCAGTTCCAATGAGATTGCCTTCACTGGTTTTGTTTTGCAGCCAGAATCCACTGTGCACTCTATTTAGTTACCATCTCTGGCTGTTGCGTGTTTTATATCTTGGCTTCTTCCAAAGGTACTTGAGGGTCTGTTATAGAACAAAAGCATCTACCTGGTTCGTAAACCCCAAGAGTTTCTTCTTAGTAAGAGAAAAAATTGTTCTCTTATTCACTATTTTCTTTGATGGAAAGATGAAGAAAAAACTGGGCGCATTCACACATTCTGATCCATGCATCCTTTATTCCGTCACCAACCACTGTGCTGCCTCCAAGCAATAGTACACAAACTGGCAATCAACCGCAATCCAGTTGTACAACAATCTGAGGCTTACAGTACATTTAAGGCTTTTAAATTTAAAAATAAAATTAAAATAAAACCAAAGACCCACCCCCCCAAAAAAAACCCAAACCCCCCAACCAATACAAGTAGTGTAGCAATTTCAAGCATCTTACATTTCTGATGCTTACTTGGTGCAACTCCAGTGTCAAAACCCAAATAACTTCTAAACTAAAAAGATTAGTTCAGTGAAATTTTAATTACATAAATTCTTCAAAGCATAAACTTGGAATTTTTGTCTTGGAAATGTTATAAAATTTTTTTAATAGCAAAACATAGGAATAAAAACATATTAACAAAATGTATTCAATCATTTACATTACAAACGAGGAATTTAGCAGTTCATTGTTGTATCCTGACAAAAGAAAACTACCCATTAAGAATCTATGCACAATGTGATTGCAAATATGTACAGTACTTTAAAAAAGCCTATGAGGAGGATTTTATAGAAGTCAGCTAGGCTCTTTGTTAAACCAACCAGACAATCAAAATATTAAAACTCTGTTGGCTAGTAATAAATTTACACTTAAAAAACCCCCTAGTTTTCTTTTGTTTAAGAATATTCCAGTTATATTTATATGGGTACAGTTGATGAAGCGGTTCATGATAAATCCGGTAAATTATCCTTCAGTTTACTTGTCTGGGGAAAGATCAGCATGGAAACAGAAATTAACAAAGGAATTTTCACCACAATAGTTTCCAGTTACACTATCACAGCTTCACAAATGGATTGAACTCATGAGTCCCATGGCCGAAAGAGAGCTGCACATCAAATACGGAGGATACAGGTGGGGACAGGGCTGCGTCCTGCATAAGTGAGTCGGAAATGGAGAAACAGAGGGGAGCGTACTTCACACAGCACCAGAAAACTGTCCCTACACTCAGCTCTCATTCCTACTCCTGCAAGGCAATGAAGCTGGGAGTCATGACTGCTCAGGTTAATGCGTTGTGTGAATTAGTAGAACCATCTCTAGCTACAAAAGACTGAAATTTCATCAGCTCTTTGATAAGAACACCCTAAAGGCTGGGCACTTCTTTGTGGTTATGAAGCCATTACAGCTATCCAGTTAAAGCATGTGCAAACCAGAGGACTCCTCCATTCACAGTAAATGAGGTAAAATCAAGTTGTTGTCTTCAGGAGTTAGGAAGTTCGTGAGATATGAACTGTTTTAGTCTCTCTAGGTACTGTGCGTAAAGCTCTATGTCATTGTGCCCAGCCCCTTCCACCCAGAGGGGCTCCACAGCTCGGGGACAGCGCTCATACATCGCGAGGCCGTGGGAGAAGTCGATGACCTCGTCTTCTGTCCCGTGAATGACCAACACAGGAGAGGTGACCTTAGAGATCTTGTCAATGCTGCAAAACAGAAGGGAAAGGGGCAGAAAAGCCTCCTTCAGTCACGCTCAGGACACGTCAGTTAGCATTCATGATTATGCAAGGACGTTAACACCACGTTTTAAATTAGAGACTTTGCTTCCTTAGAGCAGTTTCAGGTTCATGGCAAACTGAGAGAAAGAGATTCCTCACGGACCCCTCCATCAGATCCCCACCAAAGTGGACATTTGTTGCAGCTGACGCACCTGCACTGACACATGACGATGAACTGTCTTTTATTCTCTCATTTTTTTCTAGTAATTAATTTTTCTTTTTTAAACAAACTTTTCCTGCTAGAATAGTTTTGGATTTGCAGAAAAGGCACAAAGACAATACAGAGTTTCTATACACTCCTGACTTATTTCCTATGGGGCTAACATTGTACATTACCAGGACTCATTTGTCAAAACCTGACAAACCAGTGTCAGAAACATTACAATTAACTAAATTCTATACTTTATTCAGATTTCACTCATTTTTCCATTAATTGACCTTTTTTTATTCCAGGAGCCAATCAAGAATACCATACTGCATTTAGCAGTTGTGTTTTCTTAAAGTATTTCATTAAAAACAGAATCCTTAAGAACATCAGACTGGCAAACCAATAATTAATTATTTTTGACATATTCATATTTTTCAAAGGATTTTTTGAAAAAGTAAATGGGCTAGTACTTAACATATCTGAATGACTGTCTTAAAAGCTAATGCCTTAATTTTAAAATAAAACTGCTAAAAAATTTAATTTAATACTTATGCTTGACTCCAAATGACTTCTACCTACAAAAATCAAATCTATTCTCAAAGGATGAATATTTGAGGATCTTCAAAAAAATGTGCTTCAGGCTCTGAAAGTATATCCCAAAGAGGAATTCCAAAGACTCTAAGCATTTTGGGTTGGGTATATAGGTGGCTTCTCTGATATGGATATAATCATCATTTTACCCATGAATAAATCAGGAAAACTGGATCTCTCTCTCTCCCTCTCTCCCCTCCTGCCAAAGGGCCTTTTATAGTTTACTTCTCTTTAATCCTAAAAAAATACAAATTGGCATTATGTGCAGACATGTTTGTTCCAAGTAATACCCAACTTTTATTAAACATTTACCATAGCTGCGTGCTCTGTATGTCACACAGTCACAACTAATCATCAATGAAACACTAAGGGGGAATGACAGCCTCTGTTTCATCAGGGAGGGGACTGGAGCACAGAGAGCGTTACACAATGTGCATGAGGTCGTGGAGATAATGAAGAGCTCTAATGCCAATTATACATTCTGAAGACCTGCAAGCAACTGTCATCTAGAACCACTCACGAAGCTGCAGAACACTTTAGGACATCCTGGAAAGACCGCAAAACCTCTTCAGCCGTGTAATCTGCCAAGATCAGAGCAACTGTGGCAGTATTCAATTATGCAGATTAGAAGTCTTATTTAGAATCCTACTTCTCCCTATATTTAATCTTAAAGTGACTTTAAGAGAGTTCAATTACACTCAGTTAAAAAGATATTTACTCTACAGTACAAGGGGCCTGGGATCATGTTCCACACCACAAATTTAAGAGAATCTCTGCAGGCTGGAAGTGAAGTCAAATGCCATCACCTGATCCAAAATGAAAAGGTGGCAAAAAAAAATAAACCTCAAATGAAATAATGCTCAGGACTCCTTCTCTTTATTTATTACTTAGAGGAAATGGGAACATATCTTCATTTAAGGAGAGGCATACAGAGACAATTCTGTCCTTTGGTACCAATGGACATCACAAGTCAAAGTTCAGTCAATGATGAAAGTCATGCAACCAGTAATGGTTTGAAATCTATCATATTAATAATGCCTGGTACTTAATATGACAAGTCATCTCTGTTTGCTGTCTCAGGCTCATCAACCTTAATTAACCTCTAAGCCTCAGTGTCCTAATCTGTAAAATGAGTATAGTAGTCAGACCAACTTCTAAGGCTGACGGTTACAATTAGTTTTCATAGCAGTAAAGGTATTTGCTAATTCAAAAGCCAGGGAAAAAACTATCCATTTTTGTTGCCAGGGTAACACCTGGCATTGCTTCCCACAAACATGCGGAATATCTGTCTTTCAACAAACTGGCCTCTCATTACCAATTCAGCAGAAATCAGGCCACATTTGAGATGCACATTAGGCCTTCTTAGCATTCCCAGCCACACCACTAGAAATCTGCAGTGCAACTTTCCCATGAAACTGAGTTTCACTGAATCCTGGTACAAAGTACACAGAATTAAAGTTTACCTGCGGTGCTAACAGGTTTCTTTCTGTGAAATCAGACCGTCTGGCTAACAGATCTTTATGCAACCAAATGATGTTCTTTTTTCATCCCTGGCAATAGCAGAATGTTAGCAATTAACAGGTCAATCAAAACCCTAAAACTGTACAATATTTCTGCTGAGCCTTTCTCAATATAATGGCAGCACGAGCCAGCCTCCCCACATTAGGCCACTTTAGCAATGTACCATGGGGAAGCTTTGGAACCAAATACTTTTTATTAAAAATACTTTTCTCATCTTAGGTTTAAAAAACAAAAGTAGATGTGTTCAAAGGAAGGTACTCAAGAAGCCAGCATGCTTGTCCCTTTTCTAGTTCCAGGATATTTTACTTCCTTCTTTTAGCTGGGGGGGACTAGGCACAGCAGGGGCGAGGTTGGCGGGAGCTCTGCGGGCGGACGTCCCAGGCTGTCCCAGGCGTGCAGTGGGCTCTCCCTTGCTCGGCTTCCCTGGGTAGGTGGGGGCGCCTCTGCAGGGCTGAGGGCTTCCAGTCAAACTGGCACAGCAGGGTGAGACAGGTTGCAGGTGGGTTTATATATTTGTAATACTTACCAAAGACCAAACCCTGGATTGTTAGGTAACTCCCTTTAGCTTTTTCATTCTATTTACAGTAAGATTAAGCGAGCTTGGGACTGTCCCCATTAGCTGCGTTGTCTGACTAACAACGCAAGAGAAAGCTCAAAATTGTGCCTACTGGCAGTTTTTATTGGAGTGTGTAGCTCACTGCTAGCTGCCTCACCATACATGCTGCACGTAGCTTTTTGTGACTTGATGACAGCCATCCCTTTGAATAAATGAACGAATTTTGAACTATTTCCTTCAGAACATGGAGGTGTTGTTTTGTTTTTTTTTTCCCTTGTCTAGGACAGCTGAACCAAATAATCCTAGGCACCAGCACGTGCCAAATCCTTATACGCCATTTGGGATTTTTTCATAAATGAGGATAAAGTCTTTGGACAGTGTTTGTGTCATATGCACTTCCCAGCACTGGCTCTGGCACACAGGTGTATTCAGTAAGTGTTTATGAGGGGCACACAGCCAACAACAGCATCAGATCTGAACGTGGTCACTGGCTGACTCAGCCCTGACTTGCACACATGTGAACTTACCTAGGGAAAGCATCAAAGCAGTATGTTTTCCTGGTATCTGGGAAAGCCACACGCAAGCCAGACATCAGAGGGGAATGGAGAATTACAGCTGCACACTCGTATCGGGAGGCCAGGTCTACAGTGGGGACTGTCCCGATGCTCTGACCATAGAGGATGATGTTCTCGGGACTGACACCGTACCTGGAGAAATCAGAGGTTGTATGCCATTAGCTAACAAATAAAGACAGAGAGGGGAAACACCTAATACCGCAAACCCACAAACTTCTCACCATCCACCAGCTTAAAGCCATTATCACCCAGTGTGTACACTGTAGCTTAAGATGAATATGAACCTAAGAAAACCAAATGTTAGGGGCCTATTTCAGTAGCAAGTGACTAAGATTCTGTCTTCAATAACATTTATAGAAGGAATTAACACCGTATTTTTTTCTGGCAGATTACCTAAATAAATGTATTATACATTTCAATTCAGTAGCTATCGAGTCATCTATTTCCCATTACTCTCTCTTTATATTTTCTCTGATAATCACCTATACATTTCTAAAGTAAAAACAAAAGGAGGTTTATAGCAAATCGTAATATTAACAATTCTTCAAGGGAAGTTTTAATGACGAAAGGTATGAATATTTACCAGAAAAAGGTTTACTGGGAGACCATGAACATGGAGGAAACTGTATTTTCTTTAGCCTCGTCTCAGGGCTAAACCCTTCCAAATCTTTCAATCTATTAATGGTATCCAAATCATTCTCTTTAAATTTTTAGTAGGGTAAAAGGATGTGTAGAATATAGGCTTCATTTTCCAGCCTGACACGCCCAGAGAACTAAACTCTGGCCAAACAGATATCAGCAGAAATGACGTGGGCCACCTCCAGGCCTGGGCTTTAAAGGGGGCAGTGTGGGCTCCTGGTCCCCTCCCCTCTTCATCTTGGGAAGTAAAGCCCAGTGGCCCCCACAGCACCCTACATCTTCTGGCAGAACAAAAGAGAAGGAGCCCAGGAAAAATATGTGCTCTTTTATCAACCTACAAAGGATATTTAGAACATATAAAGAGTGCCTAGAAATGAAAAAGAAAAAGAAAACTAGGCAAAAAAGATGAAGACACAGCACGGAAGGAAAAAACACACAAATGCCCAATACACCCACAAACACGTGTTATGCTCAGTCTCCCTAGTACATGAAGATGCAAATTAAATCTGTGGGTTATTATTTTATACCCAAGAGATGGACAAAAATTAAAAGTCAGACAAGGGCAAGAACACAGGAATGTGGGACACGGTCACATAGCGTGAGAATGTAAATTACCGCAAGCACCTGGGGAAACAACATGACGTTATGTGGGAAAGCTCAAGGCTAGGAGCCAACCTCCTACAGCCTACAGGGCAACAAGACAGCTTTCTGCTGGCTGCCTCCAGAGAGGAGGACAATCAATCCACGGCAGAGGGGGATGGCGGGATTGCAGTCCAGCTTCCCCTCTTGCCCCACGTAACTTCACAGGAAAATGGGGTCCCTTAAGAAAGAATCTGGGGAGGGAGTGGCGCTTTCTGGCAGGTAAGCACTGGGACATGCTTTCTCAAAAGCTGCTTCTGGGCTGTGCCACGAGGGCAGACAGGACCCAAACCCCTGGAGAGGCAAGGCCTGGCTTAAGGAGCAGCAGAGGGCACACAGCACGGCAGCTGGGGAGCAGAGGGCGGTCAGAGTGCAGAGCGCACAGAGTTCAGGCTGGCTCAGGCAGCCTGGGCCAGGGCTGAGCAACAGGCAGGGACCCAGCTGGGAGAACTTCAATGGGGAGCTCATGGGTTTAGAGCCCATCCATGAGAAGACAAAGGCCACGGAGTGTCCAAGGTCATCAGAAAACACCATTAAGGAAGTAAAAGGGCAAGCAGTCAAGTGGGAAAAAATATTTGCCACAGACATAATCAACATAGAGCTTAGATCTATGTAAAGAGCCACTGCAAATCAATAAGACAAACAAGAAGAAGAATATTACAAAATAGGCATTTCATAAAAGAAATTAAATGACAAAAAGGGGGGGAGAGGAAGAGGGGAAGCGCTAGCAAAGGCAGAGGAAGGAAGAGAGAAGAAAGAACAGAGTTCATTAGTAAAGAGGGAACTGCAAGTTAAAATAATGACACTCCACACACTCCTATTTGAAAGTCTGAAACACCTGGGCGGCGCCTGTGGCTCAAAGGAGTAGAAGGCCAGCCCCATATGCTGGAGGTGGTGGGGTCAAACCCAGCCCCAGCCAAAAACTGCAAAAAAAAAAAAGTCTGAAATATCAAGGCTGGCAAGGACAGGAACAACAGGAATGCTCCTTCACTGCTGACAGGGGAGTAAGCTGATAAAACCACTTTGGAAAAAGCTTGGCAGTATTAAGTAAAACTGAACATATATTAACACATTCCCAGGGACCTAGCAATTCTACTCTAAGGTATGTTCACGACAGAAATAAGTGCTTCTATACACTACAAGTATACGCAAGACTACTGTGGGCGCCTGTCTGCACAGTGGAGACAGCGCTAAGGTATATCAACAGCAGAGAAAACAAATTGCAGGGTGGTCACGCCACAGACCACACCAACACATCTTCAAGACATGCTGTTAAGAAAAGATGCCGATATAACTGAACGTACTTTGTATAATGACATCCATACAAAATTTACACCCATCAAAACTGAATACTATAGGAATATTTAATTGGGTAGTAAACCTACAAAGAAAACCAAGGAAATGGGCTCGGCGCCTATGGCTCAAGTGGCTAAGGCACCAGCCACATACACCTAAGGTGGCGGGTTTGAATCCAGCCGGCCACCAAAAAAACAATGACAGCTGCAACCAAAAAATATCCGGGTGTTGTGGCAGGTGCCTGTGGTCCCAGCTACTTGGGAGGCTGAGGCAGGAGACTCGCTTAAGCCCAGAAGTTGGAGGTTGCTGTGAGTTGTGACGCCACAGCACTCTACCCAGGGGGACAGCTTGAGGCTCTGTCTAAAAAAAAAAAAACCAAGGAAATGAATGGTAAGAGTGAGGATGGTGATCACAGGAAGGGAAAGGTTGTCACTGGGGAGAAGCAGGTCCTTTGGGGGCTATAGAAAGCTGGTTCAGGCTACCTTTTGTCACAGGTGTTCCTTTTATAAGTCATTAATTGGACATAAACTTCTCTGTATGGTCATTATATTTCACAACAAAAAAAAATTCTTTAAAAGTTCACCAGATACTTCAGATATGAAGACAGCCCTTACAAAATCGTTAGGACTCACAGTAGATTTTGTGCTAAAAATAAAGCACGTAGAAAACATGAAACCATTAAAAACTATGTTTCATAAAACGTTGATATGGGGGAAACTGATGTTAAAATGTTCAATACAAATTAGCCTCCAAAACGAGGGACACAATTATGTCTCTTAAAAGAAAAAATCCTCTATCTATGGAGAAGAGACTTGACAGCAGTAAATGAAAACGGCATCAGTAAGAATGGTTGTCTAACTTCAGGTGATGAGACCGAGAGTTTTTCTTCTTTCAAATTTTCATTCCTAATTTCCTTTGGTTATTAGGTAGTGATTTGTTGGGGGTAAAAAAGAAGCAACATTGCTGGTCCTTTTTGCACAGAGAAGGTTAAGCTTGCAGCTGTCAGTGTTCACGTATTGTGAAAACTGTCATGTGCTGGCCAAAGGCTCAGACTTGTTAGCACTGTGCTGTGGACTGTTCCCTTTTCCTGTCTTTACTGTGCTGAGAGCAAATGAGGAGTTGGGGAGGTGGTAATTCTGTGAAGGTACCAAGATCTTCAGGAGGACCAGAAGGCCTCTGTTCTAAAAATAATACCTTTTTTGCAGGCCAATGAAGCGTCTTTTCATTGTACCACTAAGATACTTTTCCCCATCAAAGTAGAAGATGGGAACCTCTCTGCCAAGGTTCTGAATGAGAAGTATCTGAAGTACTTGGGAAATCAGTGTTCCTTACTTATTTTAACGTAAATTACCTGGCTCCCCATTTTCAAATTCTAATTCAGAGAGTGTGTGGATTCTTCAAACTTGGTTGACATCGGGCAAAAAGGGTTGGACCAAATCCTAAAGCTGTTTAGTTCTCAAATTAAATTACGTAAAAGAGTCAGAGGGAGAGAAAGAGTGAGTGGCATCTATGTCAGTAAGTTTATGTGAAACAAAGGCCAGCTTACAACCACAGCTTAAAAAAAAAAAGGTAGCAGGATCAAGTGAAAAACATTTTCTCAAAAGCATCATCAGCCTGAAGTCTAAAATTTTTCCTTTAAAATAAAACAGAAGTTAAACCTGACCAATCAGAACAAGACAGTAGCTCTGGAGCAGTCAGAAACAATACAGGAAAAATAGAAGAATCTAAAACTCCTTTGTACAGGAGTTTTGGATTTTAAATTATGATTCACTATTTTGAGGGGTATCACAGTGTCAAAAGGCTGAACGAGATTCCTTCTAGCAAGCAGCACCTTCATGTGTAACACGGAAGAGGCAGCAGGGTCCACACAGCCCTTCCTTGGTATTCTCTATCCCTAGGCAGTGTTGGAAAAGTTAAGTGTCCCTCCTCCCTGAATATTATACTAGAAGAGCACAGACACTGGGGTGGCTGCAGGGGTCCTGGCAGCTCCCCTAGTCCTAGGGCCTCCTGTCCTCCACCCATTTTCCCCTGCTCCCTGGCATGTGCAGAAATACTGTGTTCTCATACCAGGGCTAACCTTCCCCCCTTCAGTGTCAATTCCCACTCCAGGACTCTGAGACTCTCCTCCACCCCACCCCACCCCAACTTCAATCTTTATTTTCTCAGCACACAGAACCCAAGTCTCTGAATCTAAGAAAGAACTTGTCTTGGTGTACGCTCCCTAGGCGATGGCTCCATCTTGCTCCTCCACACCCCCCCCCCAAACCTTTCACAGACTCAATACCAAGGCCCATGAAGTCCACCTGCGGCCCCCACCATGTCCTCTAAACTGCTAGCAGAAGTCCCCAATCCCCCAGTTCTTTCTGGCATCTCTGCAATTCACCCTCTCCTTGGCAGTCTATACCGAGAATGATACCCTTCTTCTTAAAATTCACTCCTCAGCCTCAGACACTGAGCCACCCTTGGGCTGTCCTCCTGCTCCCTGTGGCAATGGGCTCGTGTTTTCTTTGATGTCGCCTTTCTATCAGGCTTTCAGATTTCCTCTCTGGATGATGTCA